TGCAGTGCCTAAGGCATTTGACTGCTCACCAGAAGGCTGGCGGTTCAAACCCACCAGCCACTCCTTGGAAGGACGGTTGGGCAATCTACTTCCATAGTGATACTGCCTCGGCAACCCAAGGAGGGGTCACTATGAGTTGAATTGACTTAATGGCAGTGAGTTTGGTTTAGTTGATTCCATATGCTAATTGCTAAGGAAGGCCTAGGTCCACCTAGCAATGCGATGTTTTAACCTTGGTTGCCAAGATAAACCATCCCTCCTCAGCAAACAAAAGGTAAGGCTTAAGTGATCCCACTCACTGCAGCCAGTTCTGACCCCTTGGCCTTGAACTCGGCCCAAGAGATCTGCCTCTTCTCAACAGGCCCTGGCCGCTGGAATAGTTGTTCCTCAGCAACGGAGCCCAGCCTGGGCCACCCACCCACCCTGCACAGCATCATGCCTATGGGTCTCCGATCCCAGAATCTGGTTGTCGTGGAGGACCACTCCTTAGTACCAAGGCCCACCCAGCTCATAAAGCTGCTCCTTCTCCACTTAATTAAAGCCTAGTTCTTGGTTGCCAGGGAAAATCCAGTCCCTAGCAACACAACTCTGCAGCCGTGCAGAGAAAACACTGGCCGAAGAGACTACCTCCAATACAAGATCATGGTAAAGGCATGTGACAAGAGCTCAAGCTCCCCTTCCTTGGGGAGCCCCTAAAACTGGCAAAGACGGAATGCTGGAAAGATGTAGTCATGGCCCCAAACCAGTTGCCCCTCTAGTGGATTCCAACTCATGGCAACCCTGTGTGTGTCAGAATCAAATCTGTAAAACTCTGTGCTCTTTAGGATTTTCAGTGGCTAATTTTTCAGACGTAGACTCTGAAATACCAGGCTCCTTCTGAGGTGCCTCTGGGTGGACTCAAACCTCTAACCTTTCAGGCAGCAGCTGACCATGTTAACGGCTTGTCCCATCCTGAGGCTCCCAGTCACTTGACCAAACCATAAAAACCAAATGTAATGCCATGGAGTTGATTTTGACTCACAGCGCCCCTAGAGGACAGACTGGAACTGCACCACAGGGTTTCCAAAGCTGTCAATCTTCACAGAAGCAAAGCCCAAACCACACCCACTGCCTGGAGTGGATTCTGACTCACAGCGCCCCTAGAGGACAGAGTGGAACTGCCCCACAGGGTCTCCAAGGCTGTGGGATCTTTACAGAAGCAAAGCCCAAACCAAACCCATTGTCATGGAGTTCATTCTGACTCAGCAACCCTGTATAGGACAGAGTAGAACTACCTCATAAGGTTTCCAATGCTGTGAATCTTTACAGCAGCAAAGCTCAAACCAAACCCACTGCCACGGAGTCTGTTCTGACTCATAGTAACTCTTCAGGACAGAACCACCCCCACAGGGTTTCCAAGGCTGTCAGTCTCTACAGGATCAGGTACCATCTCTCTCTGCCTAGTTACTACCCAAAGGACCCCAAAGCAGAATGTGGCTTTGGCAGCTAAAAAGAACCAGAGGCCTCTCATCAATAAGAAGTCCAACTTTAGTCAATAAGGCTTAGAGGGTCTGACACAGGCTGACATGTAGGAAGAGGCCACCATTCCAAAGAATGTCCTGGAAGCAGAGCCCAGAGGCCCAGCCCCTGCTGGGATTACTGCTAGAGACAAGGGCGGAGCCTCTGTTGCTAAGGAAGGCTGTCCTTAGCAACGGGGCCCTGTGGAGTCTGAAGTCTGTCCCTGCGAGGCTCGAAGACCCAACTGAGAGGACAAGCTGCCAACCCTTACGGCTGAGCCTAGCACGGCTGGCTGAGTCCGCATCTGACAGTGATAAAAAAAAAAACAGTAGCCATCGAGGAGTTGATTTTGATGGATGGCGCTGTGCACCATAGGGTGTTCAAGGCTGTCATCTTTTGCAAGGAGATCACCAGCCCTTTCCTCAGAGGCACCTCTGAATGGGTTTG